GGCTATTGCGTTTTTTTGTGTTACTGTTTCAAGACTGCTACACCACGTAGACCGTTGTAGCTAAAGATTACAAACGTGCTACGATTTTTTTCAAATCTTGGAAACGATATCAGATACGTTCGTTTTTGCCGCTTTGTATTATTAAATTATTTCTTAGAATATTTTATATAATAATAAGTGAGTCAAATGTTATTTTAAATTGTAGCTAATTTTTATGAGCATCACGATGCATGGAGCATTATCAATTTTGATTTTAGTAGTATACTTTACTAATTAAATTGGTTTTCTTGCAACCAAGTTCAAAATGTAAAAAATGTTTTAAATTTTTACATCACTTGCGTGCGTCTGTCTATCAGATTGTGTTATTTTTTTCCCAAGCTAGTAACAGTTTAAAGTAAAATAAGTAAGAAATACCCATTATTCTATTATAAATAACTCTCCTAAATAAAGTTAATCGTTTAAAAGATTATATCTATAATCATTTAAGTATGTCATATATTCTCAAAAAGACACTTATCAATCCCTGACTTTGTGAAGTTCACCAATGAACAAAACCACTCTTGAGGTCTATGTAGAGCGGTCGGGTTTGAGTTAAGACGTAGTTTAAGACGATTTTTTTCTCACGATCGCGGAAAGTATAGGGGGGAGCGGGGTGATTTCTAATACCTTTAAACGAGCAATTCTTGTATATTTATATATATATTTAATCTGAATCTCGGAAGCGGTTCAAACGATTTTCATGAAATTTTGTATGCAGATTGTTCCGGGGGCGATTAATCGTTCTAGCTAGGTTTCATTTTTAGAAAAATTACCAAAACAAAATACCGAACAAAGCTCTTAAGTACGAGGTACTAGGTATTAACACAAATATTTATGTTGTTATAGTAAAAGTTTGCAGAGAAGCAAGGTTCAGTTCATTTCAGTCATATCACTTTTTGCGATTGCAAACTAATAACTTGATAAACGGAAAAGTTTGGTTTGTTTCCAATTATACTAGTAAAAATATCAATATCTTCAAGACGGACAAATATTTCCAAACAAGTTTATAACTATTTCTTCACTTAATAATATATTATATATGACGGAGGACCGATGTTTGGGTTGTTTTTAAAAAGAGTGACGACAGGAAAGTTGACATGATTCTTTACATTGTCGTGGTTTTTCTTCGTAAAAGCTGTAGTAAATAACAACAACAACAACAGTAAATACAATTAAAGATGTATACTAAGTTCTGACCAACAGTCGTACATGGATCCGTATAGTAGTACATAAAGACAATAGTAATTACAACTAAAGATGTATTCCAAGGTCTCACCAACAGTCGTACATAGATCCGAACAGCCCAACGGCTCGAGCGAGAATAACCGAGTACGCAGCTCGTTTTTATATTCGTATGACGTATGACGTATTGCTCGCACATGCGTTTACAAGTTGTTAGGTAAAGTGTTGTATTTTCTTGTTGTGTTTAGATAATATGATTCTTCAGTTTATTTTTTTAACAATAACTAGCAAAACTCCGGTCATAATCCATTAGAATCTACTTTAAATCAATCAAATTATTTTTATTAAGTGAGGTAGTTTGTAGTTGCTCCGATATATATTATGAGAATATTTAGTCCAGGACGCTTCTAACTGTTATGTCTAGAGAGCTATTCGTCTTTCTGGTCCTTGTATTTGCTTATATCGTTCATTCAAGGATACTCGATCGACTAGTTATAAAAGTCAGCAAAACACGTTTTTATATTTATGTTAGCAAATAATGGAGAAAGATCATATTAAAATAATGATTCAACAGATTATTAGAAAATGCTTTTGCCTGTTATTTTTTTACCTCATTAATCATGTCAGTTGATGGTCGGGCCAAATAATCTACCTAGGTATGTCTATGGAGGACAGAGACGGCTACTTACATCAAACTCTGTCAACGTATCAATTTGTTATTCAGTGGACTTTAAAAGTTTGAGAGAGAGAGAGAATAGAACAAATTTACATGAGATCTTCACCGAACGGTTAAAGTAAATTTGTCTAACTTTCTTGATAAAAATAATATGAGCTGATTATAATTTCTATTAAACCACATATTCGATACGTAATACTACGTTGGAGTTTTTTTTTCAATATTGGTTCGCTTGTACTTACTACGGATAGCTACTACGGATAAATCCTTTAAAAAAAAAGTAGAACCGAATTTAACTAACCTACTTGGCTTGGCACCGACCTTAAACAGACTAGAAGTTATCTATGGCTATTATAATGTTACTTGTCACATTGAGGGTTGCACTTTTTTTAAGTTTTTTAAATCAGATCTATAATTACTTTTGAATTTTTTGTGTTCTTTGTTAGGATTGTTTGAAGTCGGTTCACCTTTTTTTATAAGGTTTTATTTTATCATTTTTAGTGTAAGAAAAGTAGATACTATATTGAAACACTACGTAGGTAATAAATAGATGGATAGATAGATAGATTACTCTTTATTGTACAAAAGACATAATAATATTTTGTTATATTTTGTTTATATTTGTGAAAGTCTTGATCTAAAGACAGTTACACAAAGAGAGTAAAAGTAAATACTTTAAAAAAAGTTGTACAATTGGCGGCCTTATCGTGATTTGTGATCTCTTCCAGGCAACCGTATATTACTAAGTTTTAGTATGTTAGATTATATTAAATTTAGTTTAATAAGTCCGTTACTTCATTTAGATAAGACTGTAAGATGTTAATTTTGAACCCGAAAATAGATTGTTTTTCACATTAGTTAATTTTCTACTACTAGGAGTGTAATTTTTTCTTCACATTTGAATGGAACCAAAGGGAAAATAAACCATTCCAAATTTAAAACAATTAACAAACACCAAACACCGCGACATGAGAATTTAATATATTAGATATCAAGTCAAGAGTTAAATTGAAAATTTTATGATTAAATATAAAAGCGCTGCCTTAGAGGGTTCGATTGCCGGACTGGGAATAATTTTAAAGGGGTTTTCTGATATTAAAAATAGCCTAAGTTACTTCTTATATAGACAGCTACCTGGTAGTAAAATATTATCAAAATTGGTCCAGCCGTTTAGAATATTACCGGCACAAACAGACAGAAAGACAAAAAAAATAAACTGGTCTAGTACTATCAATTGTTTTGACATTACAAACAGACACTTCAATTTAAATTTTTGTATAGATGTTTGAAGTAAATAATGATATATTAAACACTGAGTGATCTGGGCTAGTTAAGTTAATAATAAATAAAAAAATAGGAACTATATCAATATTATTTTATAAATACTACTTTTTAATTTTAGAAATAAACATTGTTTATCTACTATAAAAATATAAATAAAAGTAAAAGTATTTTTATAGATATAATAATTATTTTCAATCAGAGTAAAAAAATAATTGGTTTGTGATAACAACTAGAAGTGTCGGCAAAAAGTCTTGTTACACATTTTCCGGTCTCGTTCCCATCCGCTTAGAGCGCGTAGCCCGCGATAAGGAACTTCGTTTAAAAATATCGCACTCGACGACGGCGAACTCGGACCGAAACTAGATTTTTTGGCCGAAACTACTGTTCGGTCACTAATAATGATTTAAAATAGATTGCTTTTTCGACAGAGTAGAAAATTTTATTATTAGTCTGTTTAATTATAATTATCAAGAAACAAAGACTTTTGTAATAATCTTCAGACTCCACTTATATATAAGATTGGCAGGTGGCTTTGAATCGAGACCGAATTCCAAGAGAAGAATTAACAAAAAATACACATACAAGTATCTGTCAGCCGATAGGTATTTTTTTAAACTTTGCTTAAAACAAGGCTCCATAAAGGCTATTTTTATGATAGACACGTTTAAATCATAATGTACGGACCCTAAATTATATTCACATGTGCGGGCAATGTGAATATAATTTATAAAATCCAGGTGATGAGAACACGTTGCAAAATATAATTGATTTTGGTTTATTTAAAATAAAAAATAAATTTTCTATGACCTTTTTTCATCGCCCACTTCTCTAAGTTTTTTTAATCTGCGTTAACAATTACGAAGGTGTGTTGGAAATTGATGTTGACACGAGCGACGAGCGGCACTCCGACCGAGGCAACAAACACATCGTTACGAAGCAACACCGAACCGTTGAATTGTACTGCTTTAATTCATCGATTCTTACGCTCCAAGGTTTACTTAGGCGGCCGTATGGCGTAGTGGTTTGAGTACTGGACTGCTACGCCAAAGATTCCCGCTCAAGTCAAACATTTGTGTGCATGAACATTTAATGTTTGATTTGGTATGGGTATTTCTATATATAATATATATGTATTTACAAAAAAAGTATATATGTTTTTATTTCAATTGTAGTACCCATGTTAGTAGTTGTGTGAATGTGGTAGAATGTTATTATTGTTGGTAATCTTTGGTCCACATTACGTAAACAGTAACGATCCAATGCTTGTCATCTCTTGATTCTTTTATTTGAATACCTAATTCATGACTTCGAGTATTCTTATGAATAATTTCCTTATCACAGAATTTTATTGCAGTGCGTGATATTATCGACGCAAATAGTAGATACGTATTTATTGAATAAATTTTATAAGCCCTCAGTTGCTGTAACTGGCTAGTTTTTATTTCGATGTGTCCAAATGGGTATCTGAAGCTTTACATTTTGTGCAAGATTTATGATACCAAAAGCAAGGCTACTGAAAACAAATGTGATGATCAACGAACACTCTTTTTCTGTTATCATTCATAACAATTTCTTCAGTATGAGGATATTCATTTAAGCAAGCAAGTCAGTTATACAATATCTATCTACTTCGTCGGTCACGTAGTCGTGACTGACGAAGTTTAAAAAAGTAATTTGCCGATTCATACTATGGTTTTAAATTAGTGTAATCAAAAAGGTTTTGCAATTTATTCCATTTTCTGAAAAACTCCTGGAGTAATACAACGAAGTATTCATATAACACTCCTCCTTCCCGTATTGACTTTGGATTTGTTCGCAGGTGACTTGCCCCGGCCGCGGAGTAAGGGCGAGTACGTTTTTGTCATAGCTCAACTGCTGTTCGGACTGTTACTATTTGCTACGGTGCTTGGACACGTCGCCAATATTGTCACATCCGTTAGCACTGCCAGGAAAGAGTTTCAAGGTTAGTATTTGCATTTTTGTAATTTGTTTCTATTATAAAATTATAAAACTGGTTGGCCCTTGGCCTAAAAAGATAAAACACAGTGACAAGGACAGTCCATTAACTTGCTCTTAAGTATAAACTTGTGACTGTCAAGTTGAATTTTTGGATAACCTAGTCTCTTCTTAATGTTTTTTTCGATATTAAAATATGTGTTACACTAGTAAGATATATTTAAATTCTTTAATACCTAACGAATTCAGACATGAAACGTGTAATATTGAACATACATAGATATCTCTTTATGACAAAAAAAACTGCCTAGACGTAATATAAGCTTACTGATACATTAAATATGTCAAACATGGTTTTATTAATTAGCAGTTTTACACACTCGTCATTTTACAAAAGAGCTCGGATTTATAAAACAGATGAGGCCATTAATCGATTTTTTTAAAAGATCAAACGTATACATGCATAACTGTAAAAACGTTTTGCATTTATTAATCCAGAGGTTTAACGATTAGAGTTGATGAAAAGTATTGTGACTTGAAATGTCAAACTGTAAATTTTAGTTTTCATTTTTTGTCCTTAGTGGCTTCGTTTGTTAATAAAACAAAATACTGTCACAGCGAAACGGAGAGTCGTTTGACAAAAAATAAAGAATAAGAATTAAATGTTTTATTATTATATTAATATTTCGATTATCGATTTCCAAAATGGAAAAAAAATTATATAGACTCGTACTTATCCAGATGTATGTTTTATCATGGTTGAAATACATCAAACACTTTGTAACTGTCTAAACTTGTAATCCTGCTACCCGTTGTATAGCCGTTGTCCTAAAAATAGTATTATAGTGTTTGTGCACAAAAGATGATCAAATATTCTACTTGCAAATAAACATAATAACAAAATTCATTTTAAATCTCATATATTTTAAAACAACTTAATTTTACTAAGAAGAAATTAATAAATCTACACAAGTACCTACTGTTTATGTACGAGTTAGGGGTCTTCTTCTCTTAGATTACCGTAGCTGGGTCAGACCGCAAACATCTCTATTGTAGGATCAATTTTAAACAATCACTAGAAATACTCATGTTCAATCTGTGTAGTTGTCGGCGAGTAGTAATAAGACATCAATAAACAGGTGGGTGCTGCCAACCAGCTACACAAATAGTCTCTCAGGTCGGGCGATACGGTGGGGGCGCGCTATTTTGAAGTGAGGTCACACAGGTGTCGTAATAGCAACCTACATAAAACCGTACACAGGTTTCTATGTACTTAAAGATAGACTAGCTTTATTAATAATATATGCTAACTTTGATACAGACAATGTCGTCTAAATGGCCTACAAACTTTGCGGAATAAAGTTATCTTATTCACCAACTTTACTTACCGCAGACGCTGCACCACGGACTCTAAATAGTATTTCTTTATTTGTAACAGATGCATGAAATACGCAGTTATATTTTTATATTGGATCAGATTCTTTTCGTTTATAATCATGTTAGTAAAAATAACCAAGTAGTCAATATCAGTAGTAATTATTAACAATAATTTTACACATCTCACACATGGCCGTCAAACCTGGAATTAGGCAGAGCCTGCGACAATATATTTATACGTTTCTAAACACATGTATATTTAGATAAATTTTCACCAAAACACAGAACAAATGATCGTTTTCATGACACAATTATTTGTCCTGGGTGAGAATTGGCCATACGGCAAAGCTTTGGCTTTGCTGTCAGGATCACTAACCGCTGGCTCTGGCAGATTTTTTAAAATTAAATGTAAACAGCTAACGCAGGTTTGCACAGCGTTAGATTAGCGGTACAAACTGTGTTATGTACTGTGTATATTTGAATAAAAGTTTGACCCACATAAGCAGTTGTGCCATAGATTTTTAGATATGTGATGTGTGTATATTTTACTGTCAGCTATTAGCACATCTGACCGTTATAGTAGACACTGAAATAGTGGCAAGAGAAACCAGTTAGATTAGTATGAGAGTTTTAATTTTATAAGTTAATAATAAATAGCTGTTAATCTTTATAATTTGCTGTAGTTTATTAAACTTTTCATTAAAATATGAATGGAAAATGCTTGCCTGTGTTTACTGTGAGTAAAAGAAGCACCTTTGTTTTTTTTACCTACAGTGGACATAGACAAAAAAATCTTAACAAATATGATTTTATAACACTGTATCTATCTATACTGTCCTTAATCACTATTTATTTTCGATCTGAATTGGCTTATAAGCTGTCTTTCATTACTAAATTAACAGAATCTAGTTTGAAGACGCGATTTGCGATCCGTCAAAATGAATCTACCTATTGTTTTTAGTTCAAAAATAAAATCTATACTAATATTACAAAACTGAAGAGTTTGTTTGTTTGTTTGAACGCGCTAATCTCAGGAACTACTGGTCCGATTTGAAAAATTCTTTCAGTGTTAGATAGCCGATTTATCGAGGAAGGCTATAGGCTATATATCACCACGCTAAGACCAATAGGAGCAGAGCACCAATGAAGAATGTTTCAAAAACGGAGAAAATTTATTACTATTGAGAGACGCAGACGAAGTTGCGCAGGTCAGCTAGTATAACATAATTAAAGATAATTATCACTTGCTAGAACTACTACTATCTACAAAACCTAGTATCTAGGACAACATAGCATAAGTTTAATTTGATATTGAGCTCAAAATGATCTTATCTTTGCAGAAAATGAGTCTTCTTCTTTTTCGATATAATATGTTCTAAATCATCATGATGAACTTTTTATCGGCTTCTCCTGGACATAGGTCTCTCCTAAGTAATACCTCTGACGTCAATCGTTAGCTGTCCTTATCCAGTTTTTCCAACCGTTTTGTGCCGTTCGTCACTCCACCTGACCCCTGGGGTGTACACCTTACACTACGTTTTCCGATATCCATTCCAGAATTCCTCTACCCCATGGTACTATGTGATGAGTTCATTATCACTTAAGCTTGCTAATTTAGCAAACCTTAGTCGTGAGATGTATTAACAATATACCTCAATACTTTCAAGTATAGCGTCTTACACATAGTCTAGATAGTCGTAAACAGTTTCAGGGATATAAAAGCCCTGACTCATATGCTGTCCCCTTGTCTACTGGTGAGTAAACTATAAAACATTGCCTATCTAATATACATATAGAACATATACAGCTATATAACACATATCAGCTACATCCTTTATGAAAAGAACAATGAAATTGAAGGTGAAGATAGAAGTCTGTTGAGATTGTAACGGTACACGCGCTTGAACTACTTTCATACATATTGTATGTAAAATACGTATGCTTACGAACCTACATGAAGCCTGATTGTCAGAGATAATATATAATGTTAAATCAACGGGAAGGTATCGAAATTCTCATCAATTTCATACAATGCGATCTTAAGTAAATCCTTGTTTAATACCATTTTATATAATTCCCCTAATCAGTTTGTGTCATTGGCTAATTTCTAGAAATATTTGAAATCCGTTCATTTGGCTTCAGAGTTACTGTTGCTATAGGGTTCTATGCAATAATGTATCTCATAGGGTAAAGGTCGACCAAGGTCAAGGTTGTTTTAAAATAGCAAACGTTTATTCGTCTTCGCTGTTTATCTACCGTTAAAGCTCCGAGGAAGCGAGCTAGAAAAAATACAATTTGGAAATTATGTTTTATGAAAAAGTTTGAGGTAAACCGGTTTACCATATATGAAGGATTATGCAAAGATAAAACGTTCCTGTGTATGACGTCTTTCTAGAAAATTTATCTAGAATAATATATAATCTAGATCATGATATATCACGTAGGAATGCCCAAAGAGTTTGGACTCTATTTTCTGCCGCTTCATGTGACTCGACACTACCTGAAGAGAAGCTACTGTGCTCCATAAACTCCTTCACTTCTTGACCTTCCGATTAACTCATCTTGATTAACTCTCTCTCATCTCTTGCTAATAAGTCACATTTTTTTTTATTTAGATATTTATGTACAAATATCAGTACAATGGCGTACGTAATGCCACAGGCATTTTCTCCCAGTCTACTATAGGGTGGTGGTGAAATGTCTGACTAGGTGCACTAGATATTGATGTGTAAAGTAAGAGAACATTATTGAGAGGTTAGACAGAAACAATTTATGGATTATGTGTAGAAAAAGTCCCCACTGAAACAATCCCACTGTTTATGTAAATATCAAATGTAAGTAGTTTTTTATCTTCATTTACACTGTCTTGGCAATAGACTGATGTGTCTACAATATCAATTCAAATATAAATCAAACATATTGAATATAAAGGGGTAGAAGAGTGTCAACAGCTTTAATTAGCGCTGCATCTCGGTTGAGAAGACAATGGCGCCGGCACAGAGCACGCTGAATCCGTGACCTTCCTCGGCGGCGCTGCAGCGAAATAGGTCAGCGGCTTGAATGCTATAAATAGCTTGGCGAAAGTCGGGCGCCTCGCCCCATCCCGGCGGGAGTGCGCGTCCCGCGCGCTGCCACCCGACATCGATCCGTCGCTCCACAGCGCGCCCCATGCGCCCGTCCACCCCACGCGCCATCGGAGCCTAACAATTCGACAATAAATTGATCTACTCGACGACTGCTAGTCGCCAGTCGCTGGTCATGCCAGCAGCGCTCGAGCTGGAGCGCAGACTATAACTGATAAGTCGCCCTCTGAGACTGTCTTTAATTCCTGTTTTTTTTATCTTAATACGCTACATCATTTTAGACTACTATTAATTTAGTACATTAATTGATGTACTTGTTGATACTTCATATACATGTATGTAAAGTTACTAAACTAACAACTAAAAACTTACAAAAGAAAAACACTGTTTAAAAGTTAAATAATATTTATTTTCCCACTGTTCAATTAAATCAGCTGCACTTTATATCCTGCCCTTTTTTTAAAAAAATTCAGTAAAAGTGATATAATTTGATATTAATTTAAAATTAAAACCTTGTTTCATTCAAAAGTTTCAGATCTCTATGGGTTAATTTTAGTCGATTTTTTTAAAAATTTTAAATGCAAAAAATGTAAATGCAGCTTAAATACAAAATTATAGCCAATATATTCTGAAAGGTTCTATAGTTTCTGTATATTTGTGTTATTCGTCCATAATCGAATTGTAATCGAGAATTATTATATTACTTTCGAAAGTCTACCTTACCTTTCTAAACAGCAGTGGACATTTTTTTTACATATGCATACCCGTCGGGCCGTCACCGGGGTTTGCAGCGGAGCGGTGTGTCCGAACTGAACCAACTAAAACCACATGAGCCACTCTGTGCCTGAAATTACTCAATTGCTCTTTTTTATTATCAATTACTCTTTATATTTGTACAAAATAAACATAATCGTCATCCATATATCACGCGTGACGCGTCAGAGACAATGGTGACAAAACAAAAGTTTGTTTTTTGTGACAAACCAAAAGTTTGTTTTGTGACAAGTCAAAAGTTTTGTTCGTATTCGGCCTTAAAATATACCGAAGTAAAAACGGAAAATTGCTTCTTCGCTTCGGAAAACGGAAAAACGGACATTCTGAAAATTGCTGTAATTTTAAGTTTTTTTTTTCAAATAATAATATTTGTTCCTAATAATTCCATCTAAAAACATTTGGTTCATAGCTACTGGTATTTTTCAAGAAAACAAACCTTTTTGGACAAAACTCCTTTGAGTATCATTAAGGACGTCTGGATTGCAAATGGCATGTATGGATTTGAGGATTGTCACCACCCCTAATCATCCCGTGGGTGTCGTAAGAGCCGACTAAGGGAACCTACTACCCAGGACAACAGCATTGCAAAGAAAAAGAAAATTTGTAACAAATCCTATACCAATGCGTCTGCTCAGACTGTAGACCAAAACCAGCAGTGGACTATGAGAGGCTGTTGATGATTATAATTACGATTATTTGTATACAAGTCAATTTGAAGCGTCGCAACACTACGTTAAAGGACCTTACTACGTGACTTTGAAACGAAGTAATAATAAAACATTTAAGGCCGGCAACGCGCTTGTGACTCCTGAATTGCAGATGTTCATGGGTGGTGATAATCACTTTCCATTAGGTGACCCGTCTGCAAACATACTTTGTTGTTTTTAATGACGTGATGTTGTTTATTGCAGGATAAGGTATTTTTTGAGCTTCTGCACTGTTGTAAATGAAACCACAATATTAATTCAGCATAGTTTAATTGTTTTTTCTATTATAAAGACAACTCATGCACTATGAGTTGTTCTTGTGTTGCAGAGGACTATTTCTTTCGACAATCGACGCATACCCAGACGCGGGACAACTATAGCTGAACCAAACAAAATGCATGCCCTTTAGTCATTGATTATTTTATTATGAGATAAATTTAGAAATGGTTTCTGGTTAAGACAATACAACATTGTATATTGTACTGATTTAATACAGCTTAAGATTAAATGCCGCTAGGAAATGCCTGCTACTTTCTATAAAGGCAGGGCGAAACATATGGTGGTTTATGTAAACAGAACTTTATGTATCTTTTTTGTTTCTATAAGTGACTTTTAGTGGTTAGACTTACAATATTGTAGCTCTTCAACAGAAGAGCGAAAGTCTATTCTAAAGTGTAGACTATATACCTCTTTTCTCGAGCTTCGTGAATAATTTTACTTCATGGTCTGTCCATTGCCTTGGTGTGATCAACCACTATGTGCCACCAGGTTTATTTAGATCGCCTCTAGTGATTTCCTGGTAAAGCCAGTTTACACTTTACAAAATCAACCCATTTCCTGTTTAGGACATATACGAGTACTTCCGTCCCGACCTCTCGATCCCGATCTACCTGCGTTTTATCTTTTTTCGATCAAAGTTTAATGAAAACATTCTCGTCAATCTTCATTTGATGTTTTCGGACCAGTAGCACCCGAGAATGCTTCGAAGGTATTGGTTGACGAAAATTTGGAAACTGTTCAATAGCAGTGATTTTTTACGTTTTGTTCCCGAATAGTAGCATGGGCTTTAAGGTAATTTTTTCTTTGGGTTAATTTTGTGAGTACCTCAGAAAGTGAAGCTGTTCCATAGTTTTACGGTTTTAAATGATTCTTTATATTCAAATCAAGAAATTTCGGAAAACTTACTTCTTTAACTTTTATGGTTAAACTTGTATAAACATATAGTGGTTCAATCTTACTATTTTGGTGGATAATAACCCTGGGTATTTATGATTAAAAAGACAGCTCTACAAGTACCAGTTTACAGAATTAAATGAATTTACGGATTTAACTAAATACGTTTACAAACTGATGCCCTTAAATTGGTTCCAAATTTGCATGTTTAACGTCGCGGTGGAAATAAGGCTTTTATTTCTTAATGTCAATGTGAACTATAGAAATTTTGAAATTTTATTCAAAAGTAACACAAAACGATTGACCACCGACGCTAACGTACAACTTGTATAATATCAGTATCAATATTCTATCAGTATCAAGTATATTTTGATGTCCTCTTGAAGGTCTTACCTGTATACTTTGTCTTACTATGTCAACATTTAATTAAACCTTCATCATTAACCTTGCTGCTAGTGATGTACTAGTTTTATAATTACCAAGAATATATACTATTCGGTAATGAGAGTGTACAAATATTACATCAAGTGTTTTCAAAGTTCAATATAGAGATGGGTTGTTAGAGCCATGTAACCAATCGGATGCAGTTGCTCTGGTTCTAAGCATCTAGTTTATATTCAAATTGTTGGATGTGACTTGTCCTCAATTTGTGTACGTAGTTGATGCTGACTGAGTATTCGTTTGACTTTCAGGGGTTGTACTGATATTGGACGCAGCTCTCGTATGTTTCTCAACATAAATTGTTAGTCCAGATCTGTAAACAAGGCTTCATAAACAACGTCCATGTAACCGTGACTTAAATTGGCAGCTTCGTGCTCCGTGCTCAGAATGGAAACATACCATGCTATTGTAAAGTGTAGGGGTTGATGTCAAAGTGATAGTTAAAGGCTAATACAATACAGATCAAGGTCACTGAGATACCCTATAATTATGTTGCTACTTCATGGAACAAGTATTACTAATACTATTTTGCTGTGTATATTTATGTATAGATCTTCATGAAAAATAAGTTTTAGAAACAAAAAGCCTCACCACTGTGTATCACCCATAGGTAATGTTTGATTTTAGGAGTATGGAGTATGTTCTCTGTGTGAACAAAGAAGTTGAAAAAGAAAGCTCCAGAGTCTTACCCAGTACAAACAAACTTACTACTGCTCCTAGTAACTGAGGCATTTAAAAATGTGTTTAATAAATACTAGATGATAAGTTATTTTACAAATCAATCTATTAGCAGTTAAAAAAAAGTTACGACAAGAATGATACAAATAAATCAAATCAAAAACATTTACACCAATGACTTTTAAAAGTAGGGGGAATGTAAATTATTCTCTAAAGGATTTTAAATATATTCAGCTGAAAATATTCGTTATTGAACACAGATTTGTCCCTTCTCCCTCAAAACAAATTTACGTGAACATAATTATATCATAATTTATTCCTTTTTTTACCTGGCATTATTTATTGTTGATATGATTGTTACTTGATGTGTTTTAATTGAAAATATATAATATTCATATTTTTAGTTGAATATGTATGTATTCTTATCATTGAACAATGTAGTTTATTTAGTTAGTTTAGTTTAGTTCCTTTTGATTTCCATTTAAATTTACAAATATTTCATCTCACCAAGTACGCTTGTAACAGAAAAATCAGCGAGTGGAATCGTTAAGGTCCCTGGACTAAAACACAACGAAAACGTTAATTAGAGTACAGATCTACCTTAAACAATACTTAGCATTAACACACACACACACACACACACACACACACACATGCACGCGCATACGTACATACACACTTCTTATTTACAAATAAATAATATAAGATTTAATTATATAAAAAAAAATGTTTTACCTAACAGCGAGCTGAAACTTAATGTAATTAGGGGTGGATTCTTGGTGATCTGAAATACAGGCATAGGTACGCCTACTTTAGGCCCTAGGCTTCCAGTTTTTGTGAGCAACTTAACTGAATTTTAATATTGTATCAATACACATATAAAGATGCTATGCTAAAGATTTTAATCAATTATTAGTATTAGTATCTGAGCATACTTTAAATCCGTTTAAGTATGTCCCCATATCCTAAATTAAAATCAAAGATAATTATGACAGCATTTAAATATGCCTTCTCATTGACGTCTCTTACTCATGTGCACAATTCCTTCATAGGTCAAGTCAGAACACAAGTAAATGCGAGTATCATTTATACATTCATACTAGTGATGGAATAATTAGTCTTCACGCTCATATTTAATTCTTAATTAGCAGATTAACGAGGCCCGTGCATTCGCATTCGCGTCAACGCGATGACTAAATTAAATCGAATAAATCTTCGTGCTAAAAATAATATTACTACAACTGCTAATGCTAAATTACTATATTTCGCTTGGAACGATGATGAACGATGATTGATTGAGAGTGCAAATGATTTTATTGTCTATTTTAAAAGAAATGC